GACTCTTTCGGATGTCCAATCCTGACTTCATCGGCCAAAGCGATCCGGAGTCACCGTCCTCAGATGGATCAACTCCCTTAGCGACACGGCTGGATTCTCCTGGGCGAGCATCCTATCGATCTGCGTTTGGGACCATTGGCCTGACGCCGTCACCCTCGCACTCTCGCAATGCTAGCGGACGACAAAACCGACGCGCGCCGTCTTTTCCCCTTGCTCCAGAAGATTCAGATGCCTCGCCGTATATCCCACGTTCAAGGGAATCGTTCAAAAGGAAAAGCTCCGATCGTTTTTTGAGCCATGTGCGAGATGACGCAATGAACGGCAGCCCACCGATTGAAATTTCTTCCCGAATCTCCTCTGACTGGAAGGGCAGCCTGAAACGGCGAACGTCATTGCCGGTAAGATCAGAGGGCTGTTTTTTACTTTTATTTTATACTCAACCTCCATCATAGAAACAAGTATCGTCTTTCTTCAAAAATATATTTCAAGGAACCCCTGATTCCTCCCCGTCTGTGTCTGATGGGTCAATCAGGTCGACACCGTATAAAGATACTTCTTATAGTGGCCAAGATTTGCCCTTTCTGTTTTCTCAACGGTCGGAGAACTTGAGATTGGGAGTCGAGCATGAGGATAGCGTCCTTGGAAAATCACCCCCACCATCACCCGCCCAAGCTTTGTTTTCAAAACGCAGCTCTCTCCGGCACTCACAAGCATTGGCAATGGCCAGTTCGACCCTTGCGCAGAATGTGATGAACTCGGAATCGATGACGACCGAGAATAAAAGAGACTCAGCTCGAATACCGTCATCAGCTTCCGCAGAGCCTGTTGTGCTGTGCAGAATATGCGAAGAGAGCGTACCTGCGACCACAATCGACGCCCACATCTCTGTGTGCTCTGTTGAGAAAACGTTTCGCCTTGCGCAGCACCTTATGGACGAACGCCTTAAGGCCTCGATCATATCACTAAGCGCATTCCGGGACGGAGTTACGTCAGAGGTACGAGTCAACTTTGTTATTACAATTAATCCAATTTTGAAGAAATTTTCGTCTGCCTTTGAATGGCAAACATACTGCCGTGCTGTAGATGGCATGCTGGACGCCGCACAAAGTGCTCTTGCCGTTGATGTGAATTTTCTTCTGCGTGATCCACGTCGCGGTGCCGTCATCGTCGACCGGCAGCTCGCACGAATTCGGCGATTCGTGTCAGAGGAGCACAAATTTGCTGCCAAAGAACCCGAAGCTTTTGTCTCCGGTGGGCGCATAGCAGCCATTGTGAGTACTACCTATTTTACCCTCTGGTGTCTTGACCCAGTTATGTTTGTTATCAGCTGCAAGAACGTGCCGATTCTCTTCGAGGGTTCACGGAAAAACGGGCCACAATTAACTTGGAGACTTATCCTGGAACTCCAGTCGAGTCTCCTCAAGCAACGTCACCTGTTATTCCAGGGTCAAAAACACTCTCGCTCATTACGGCAACACCTTTGGATAATCCAGGAATTGCATTGACTGCTCCTCCACTGACAGAGTTCAACTCTGACTCTTCAACGCCGATAAATGCTGTGACACCAGATTTGGCGTGGCCATCTCGGAGGGAATTGCCCGATTCCAAAATTTCAACTGCCGTTTCAGCAGCAGTTCAAAAAGACGGTGTCACCAAAACGCGCGATATTAGTGACAACGCCGGATCCCTATTCGCTACACCGGGCATTTCATCTGGACGTGGGAAACGTTTTGTTTCTCTTTTTGTGGCGCTCCTCCGTGCCGCTTCGAATGCATCGGTCTCTGGGAGTGGCCGTCGGGTAACTAGCGGTCCCTACGGTGTTCCACCTGATGCGACCGCGGCACCAGTTAGTTCAATTGAATACCAAAATATCACACACCTTACCTTTTCCCCCTTGTCACCTCAGGAGCAGCGAGACAGGCGGTCGTGGATGCCCAGCATTGACGACTTTGAAATCATAAAACCAATCAGCCGTGGCGCTTTTGGGTGAGCCGAGAAATATTGCACTTTTTGCCGCTTATGCGTGAACTCCCAGCAAGGTGTACTTGACTCAAAAACGGACCACCAGAGACCTGTATGCCATAAAGGTGTTGAAAAAGCGTGATATGATAAGGAAGAACATGGTGGCGCACGTGCAGGCGGAACACAAGGCTCTTTCGGTGTCGAAAAATCCCTTTGTCGTCAAACTCTTTTACGCCTTCCAGAGCAAGGACCACCTATTCCTCGTGATGGAATACCTTATTGGCGGTAGGGAAATAAAACTCTCGAAATTCTGTAATTTTACTCCTGCTAACTCACGAACTGGCTCCAGGCGACCTAAGCGCCCTCTTGGCTAGTTTCGGGCGATTTGACGAGGATATGACCATCATGTATTCCGCGGAGGTCGTGTTGGCGCTTGAGTATCTCCACGCGAACGGGATAACACATCGAGACTTGAAGCCCGACAGTAAGCTTCGGCTATCCACTTCGGCACTAATTTTTATTCTGGCATAGACATGCTAATCAATCATGAGGGTCATATTAAACTTACGGTAAGCCCGTCAGCTCGCCCTCTTCATTCTGTTATTAAAATCTTGCTAGGACTTTGGGCTGGCGCACATATCCATCCAGCAGCCTTCGCAGCAACCCAAACAGGAGGATATTGAAAATGTAGGTTTTTGAAGAGAGGGAAAGGAGAGGGATTGAAAGGAGGGAGGGGCGGAGAGAGAGAGAGAGAGAGAGACAGTGTGAGTGAGAGAGCGCGCGCGCAATGTGTGTGTGTGTGTGTGTGTGTGTGAATGGGAATGTAACTCATCTGCATTATTTACAGCGGTTGAACTCTTTATCAAAAAGACGGCCGAAACAACCCCGAAAGCGTGTTTCATCACTGTTTCCGTTTGCTGTCTCTCGAACAATTGCGAGTGCTGCACCTGTAACTTCGGCAGGAGTGTCAAATGCGCGACTATCAGACAGCCCAGCTTCCTTGACTCCACGGACTCGGCGGACCTCTCTCGCCCAACACAAACCTGTTCTTGGTACACCGGACTACCTGGCTCCCGAACTACTGCTCGGCCTTGAGCATGGATCGGCGGTCGATTGGTGGTCTCTTGGCGTATGCATGTATGAATGGCTCGTGGGCTACCCGCCTTTTACAGATGATAGCCCCGAACTGATTTTTCGGCGGATACTGGAATATGGTGGGATGGTTTTGCTCAACATGCCTCGACCTAATATGTAAACCAGATTTCGATTGGCCTCCGGATGACGGTGACATATCACCCGAAGCCAAGGCCGCTGTAGCTGGATTGTTGAACACCGATTCGGAGTCTCGGTTTCGTGCCGAAGCCATTAAGCAGCATGAGTTTTTCGGGAATGTGAATTGGGAGCATATTCTAGATCATCCAGCCCCATTCATTCCAAATCCAGATGACGTCACTGACACAAGCTACTTTGAAGGTAAGTTATCATTTTTCCATGCAAATTCTAAAAGAGCCAAAAGCTCGAAATTCTAGACCGGACATTTTGAAGTTGTCTTCAGTTACGCTAAGCGGCTTCGGCGTTTCATCAAAAGCCTCACCTCTGGACGTGTCGCCTTTGGGCGCAACGGAGGAAGAGTCAGATGTGGACCCCACTGAGTCGGAAACAGAAGAGACGCCGTGTGATGGCCCGAGCGACTCTACAGAGAAGGCTTCCACATCGACGAACGCTTTTCAGACCTCAAAACGTGATATTTTGGATCTGGAACCTGCACTGTGTGAGCGATCGGAATCCGAAGAATTGGACGAAAGAGCGCCTCACCCTGAAGCTCCGCCGATGAACCTCCGTCTGCAACGCGCAAACAAACGCCGATCGCAGCCGCCTCGGACGGCCCCTGTCTATCTTCCGCAACGCACCACCGCCAGCGACGCGAGCGTCGACGGCCAGATTTTCGCCGACTTTACATTCTTCAACGTCGACGAGCTCGGCGACGCCAGTAGGGAGGCTTGGTCCCGGACCGCCGCCCTTGGCGCAGCCGACGCGATTCCGACACTCCCGTCATCTGATGCAGACCCAGCCCTGGCTGCGCCGGCAGAGTACCGCTCTCGCGGCGCACGGACCGAGAGGTCCCATAGCCGCAGCACCTCAACACCGCCGAACTCGTACCCCACTCTCACTCCCATGGCACATGTTGCTGCCGCCGCTGTTACAGTCGCACCACCTCCCGCGCAACGGCCGCCCTATCGGCTCGGCAGAGCCGCGGGCCTCTTCACGAGCCCGATCACGCCGACCCTCGGGGAGACGGTAAATAGCGTTGCCAGCCCCTCTTTGGGAGGGCGAAAGTGGGGTCTCTTTGGGAAGGCGAAAGAGGGGGAGAGGGGGCCGTCACAACCACCTAATGTTTTTGGACAGAGCGCCGAGACACGCCGGAGGAAACATCGTTCCTTGGGACTATTTTCCAACTGAAGCAGCCCTCCTTTTTCCTGGTTACCCATGACACATCCCTTTTTTTTTTTGTTTGCTTGCCGTTTTCTGTTTCTCTATTATTCATTTGCACACCCCTCCTCCCCCACCCCGCGCACTGTCCTTTCTTGCCACCCAACACGACGATCAACTTTTTGATTCTGCTCCATTCGCTCCTGCTCCTTTTTTTCCCACTACTTCAAGCCAAGCCTCCAGCAATCCCCCCGCGCCCCGGGCGGGGGCGGGCGGGGGCGGGGGGGGGCGGGGGGGCCCGGGGGTGCGGGCGGGGGGGGGG